CTCAGCCTTCCCTCCTCCCGAGGCCACAGAGAAGGGTCACCACAGGCGAGAAGCCTGAGGCAAGCTGGGGACAGCAGCCGCGGCGGTCCTGGACCTCCTCCCCCGGTTACCTGTGAGGACTCCGACCCGGATTTGATGGTCGTGGTTAGTGAGGATCATCCCCTCGGTCGCCATGTTTCCCAGCGCAGTCACCGCACTGACGGGAGCCGGGAAAAGCCAGAGCCCGGAGCGCGCGGGCCGGGAGCGCGCTTGCCTCGGGAAGCGCGAGGCAAACGCGAGGCGGCCTGCGCGAGTGAGAGGCCGGGCCCCGAGGGCGCGAGTCCGCGGGGGGAAGTAGGCGGAGTCAGGGCGCGCGACCCCGAGTCCGGGTCCGAGACAGCGAGCTGCGAGCTGCGGCTGTGTTACGCGGTGGCTGCTGAGGGAGAGCGCGCGGAGGCGTAGGAACGAGGCGGGAGAGACTCCCGCTTTGCGGAGCGCGAGACCCAGGGCCGCTGGACGGCAGGAGACTGAGGGGAAAGGAGAGCACAAGCTCGGGAGGTCGCGGGGGCGGACTCGGGGACAGGGGCGGAGCTACACCGCGAATCGTGGAACTCGTGGCGAGTGAGGGGAGGAGTAAGAGCTCGGTACCGAGTGCTGGGAGCGGGAAGGAGCCGGCGCAGCCCTAGCAGAACCGGCGAACGCTCCTGGGCGCGCGAGTAGCGCGGGATTGGTTGGGAGAACGCGGGTGCGCGCGAGACGTGAACGCTGCCTCAGCCGAGCTCCAGACAGAAGCAATCTCCTGCCGAGCCCGGCGGTTGTCAGCTACTCCGGGCGGCGGTTGGGGCGGCAAAGCAGCTCTCCCGAGGGGAAGAGGAAAGGCTCCAGGGACCCTGGAGGTGCCTTAGAAAGCTGCGTGGGTGGCAGAACCGCAGCTGCTGTGACAGCCCGCGGTTGGCGAGGAAGGAGGTATCCTATCCTGCCTTATCTTCCCGCTTGCCGCCCTACCGTAGGATTTCCCAAGTCCAAGTCTGTACCTTCAGGAGGATCCTCACTAGCGAAGGTTAGGAGCCTGCGGCAGAGCATCTTGAGGAGAGATAGCTGGCTTCTCTTTCTCCCGCTGTCGCATGGTTTTGTGGCATCAGGCTTCTTCGCTAAAGGCTCTGCTTTCAGGTGAAAAGCACCAATCTTAGAGAATGAGATTAGAGAATGTTCCTCCCCCCCCTGAGCCACAATCACAAACCTGGAAATAGAACCCCGGTGGTGGCAATTTTCATTTCAGTATTTGTGGGATATGAGGTTACCATGAAAATAGCTTTTGTTGCCACTTACCTTCATGTGTCTTTCATAAAGTGTGATATGAATCACCTGTGGCTCTTTCACATGGGTTTCTTAGTTCCTTTCTTTCTAGCCCTTTCAACTTCTTAATAAAAAACATTATATACACACACATGTATATGTATTTTTTTTTCTCAGCTTTGGTAAAACCGGGAAGCATAAAATTGAAAAGCAAAATGTCACAAAAAATGTATAATCATTTGTATACAATTAAAATCTCAGTTTGATGGTTATGTTTTATTGTGCCAACTAGAACGTGGACTTACTCTCTAACTGAAGATTCACATTGTTATGTATTTCATTTTAAATAATGGGAGTACAAAGGAGATGATGGGTGGAATTGAGGTGGGAGAAAATTAATTAGTAAAATTTCTTTTGAGTATGTGTATTGCTAGTATTTTTGACAGTGGATTTAAAATTGAAGCCAGATCATGAACCCACCTCCTATAATAATCTATCACCATAGAGCCTGGGAGCCAATGGATTCTTAACTAGTTTCAAATGAGAGATATATATGTGAAACTATGTTTTCTTTATTTCAAACTAAAGATGAGCAAATGGTTGGTTACATTGCCTTTCTATCTTTATTCCCTCTAGCGCCCCCAAATTTGAAATGATTTTTAAATGTCTTGAATTTTCAGAGAGATAAATTCTAATTCTGCCCACTATAGGTTCTGTAACCTTAAATGAATTGGGGTCTTTTTCTTTATCGTTTATATAAGCTGGTAGATAAGCACCCTTTCAATTTAGAATATTCCGTTATTATTCATGGAAAGAAACTGGCACTTTTGTTTCACAAATAACAGAAAACAAGGGACTTTCTGTTATCTATAAAAGCAGCAATGGTGAAATTCATTAAAATTTTCATTCGGGGACTTCCCTGATGGCGCAGTGGTTAAGAATCTGCCTGCCAATTCAGGGGACAGGGGTTCGAGTCCTGGTCCGGTAAGATCCCACATGCCGCAGAGCAACTAAGGCCGTGCGCCACAACTACTGAGGCTGCGCTGTAGAGCCCGCGAGCCACAACTATTAAAGTCCGCATGCTGCAACTACTGAAGCCTGTGCTCCGCAACGAGAAGTCACCGCAGTGAGAAGCCCACGCACCGCAACGAAGAGGAGCCCCCACTCACCGCAACTAGAGAAAGCCCGTGCGCAGCAACGAAGACCCAATGCAGCCAAAAATAAATAAATAAAAAATAAATTTATAAAAAAAATTTTAATTGGGAAGGGTGAAGATGAATTAAGCCTTTTAAAGTATATGGAGGTTAGTTTGTTAAACCTGCTAAAATTGCTGAAAAGAAGTAATGTTAATAGAATTAAACTGGACAATTATAATAGATGCTTGTCTTTCAACAATTTTCCTCAAGTATATTCATCTCAGCTGAATTTACACAGGAAAAGAAAGTTTACACAGGAAAAGCCTAGTGACGTTGCTGTCTAGTGGGACTTTTTGTTTTATTGCTGGTTATTGAATGAATATTGCAGTATCCACATGCTTTTTAACTCCTGTTACCATGTGACATTTCTTCAGAATTCATCTGGGAATCAAGTGTTACAACAAAGAAAACTTTCTGGAAAGTAGGAAGAGAGTAGCATTTCCAAAGATTGATAAATGTCTCAGGAACATATTTGGGGAGGGGGGGGAGAAAGTGGAAAAGTTCAGAGTTTGTATATAAAGCATTAGAAGTGCCCAGGGCACTTCTAATTCTCTCCATTCCTGAGATTTTAGCAATGAAAATTGAGTTTACACTGAGAACACAAAAGATGGGTAAACACTTGGCTATCATAATGACTTTCATTATAAAGATGAAAGTTTATCAGTAGAAGTGAATTACTGAATGAAGGACAGTTGAGTTTTTCTGGTACTGCTATATTTACATTTAGTCCTCCTAGTACTTTAGTTTTCCTGTAGTTAATCACACTTTCAATATAAATAAGGCAAAAGTTTACTGGCTTTTCTGGGGTTAGACTCTCCTCATTAGCACTAGATGTAAGCAAGAACAAATTTGGTAGTGCATTATTCTTCCACTAAGGCTTATTCTACTCTTGCCTCTTTCCCGAATGGCTAATAGCCACACTGAGTGGATTACAAATGGGTGCAAGCAACATTTTGAATATACTTAATGCCACTGAATTGTACACTTTAAAATGGTAAATTTTGTTAGGTGTAGTTAGCACAATTTTTAAAAAACTGGATGTAAGGTGAAGCTCTGGTTGATTTTAACATAGTATTTTCCCCAAAGGAAGGGTGATAGAGTTAAGATGAACTTTTGACTGACTGAATCAGGCAATGTATTAGTTCCTAGGGCTGCCATAACTAAGTACAACAAACTCAGTGACTTAAAACAACAGAAATTTATTCTCTCATGGTTCTGGAGGCCAGAAATCTAAAATCAACGTGTCAGCAAAGCCATGCTCACTCTAAAGTCTCTTGAGAAGAATTCTTCCCTTGCCTCTTTCTAGCTTCCAGTGGTTGCCTGCCATCCTTGGCGTTCCTTGACTTACAGTTGCATCACTCAGTCTTTGCCTTTGTCTTCACATGGTCTTCTTCCCTGTGTGTATTTTTACTTGCCCTTCTTATAAGGATGCCAGTCATTGGATTTAGGGCCCATATTAATCCACTATGACCTCATCGTAACTAATCACATCTCCAAAGACCCTATTTCCAAATTCCAAGGTTCTATGTGGATGTGAAATTTGAGGGGACACTATTCAACCCAGTACAGGTGGTAATAGATTACATTACTGTGTAAACATACAAATTACAAACTCAGCCTATTAGAAAAGAATGTTCAGAAGTTTCTCTAAAAGCTAGCTTTAGGGACTTCCCTGGTGGCACAGTGGTTAAGAATCTACCTGCCAATGCTGGGGACAGTGGTTCGATCCCTGGTCTGGGAAGATCCCACATGCCGCGGAGCAACTAAGCCCCTGCGCCACAATTACTAAGCCTGCGCTCTAGAGCCTGCGAGCCTCAACTACTGAAGCCCACAGGCCTAGAGCCCATGCTCCACAAGAAGAGAAGCCACTGCAATGAGAAGCCTACACACCACAACAAAGAGCAGCCCCCACTCAATGTAACTAGAGAAAGCCCGTGCGCAGCAACGAAGACCCAATGCAGCCAAAAATAAATAAATAATTTTTCAAAAGAAATAAAAAGCTGAGATTTAGAAATTAGACACATTTTTACAGAAAATACAGCTCTATAGAATAGAGAATACTGGGGAAATTTTAAATTTTTGACCTAAATGGCCCAATGCTTTTCCCCCAGAAGTAGTTTTCTAAATTAGAAATTTCCAAAGTCTAATAAGATAAATTTAGTCAGTCCTACTAATGAAATTGACACTTTGGTTTTAGTTCTGATGCCCTTGTTATCTTTTAGTAAAGTGGAGCTGAGCCACATCAATTTCTCATGGAGTTTGATGACACTTATTTGGGAACAACTAGGACAACGTTTTCTGATGTCTGCCGTGTTTATTAAAATTAATTGAACTTTTCCTTCCTTGGGCTTTTGATATTATATTCTGCTGCCCAGATTGCTGCTTGAATAATTTTGTGCCACAGTCCTTTGTATTTTTCCTCACACTTACTCTCTTCCTCTGAGGTCCCCAACTGGAAATCCAGATGAATGAGGCTGTTTTTGGTTGCAAGTGACTGACGCTAGTTTAAGCCTAAAGGAATTCATTGGCTCACACAGCTAGGAAGTTCAGACATGTATTGGCTTCTGTAAGCTATAATTTAGATGAGTAGTTTTCGAGTCCATCTAGGGACACCGGGAGAATCCAAGATCTTTTCAGAGGGTCTACAAAGTCAAAAGTATTTTCATACTAATACTAAGCCATTATGTGCCTTTCTCCTCTCATTTTCTCATTAGATACAGTAGAATTTTCCAGAG